CTCCTTCCTTCCTTCCTTCCTTCCTTCCTTCCTTCCTTCCTTCCTTCCTTCCTATCTTCCAATCTTCCTTCATTTGCTGATTCATTCATTATTTCATTCCTCCATTCAGAGACTGAGCTGGACCCAAAGCACCCTCGTTGGATTGGTGCCTGGTGGCTGGGCTATCTTGTCCTGGGGTTTGTCACTATCTCCGTCTCAATACCACTCTTGTTCTTCCCGAGGCGTCTGCCAAACCCCTCTGGACAGGGCTTGACATCACCCAATTCCTCTCACCAGTAAGAAACGAGTCATATTTTCCAAACTATCTTCCGTATGACATGGGGTTGCTTCAAGGAGTTTAGAACTACTGTAAACTCCTTGGGTTGTTTTCCACCAGATTCGCTGATATGAACAGTTTAAGCCAATGAATTCTCCCCCCCCCCCCGATTGTGTATGTTTGGGGCCGATACAAATGCAGCAACATCCTCTTTTATGGTCAATAATGGCAGACACTTAATGTATCACGACGTGGTTGAATCAGGCGCTCGTCAACTTTTGAGCCTATTCGGTCGTTGGTGTCATCTTAAAGCTACTCAGTTTGTCTTGATTTTGATGAAAAATTACCTTATAATTTTGAATAGAAGTACAGATATTTGCCATTGAAGGAGGTGAGCGGCAACGTTTGGGGACTTCAAAAGCTTGAGAGTCCTTGGAAATTTGCAAATTTACTTTTTTGTGACTTTGGCCAAAGTTTGTCACTAAAATCCACACAGAAATGTACATGATATCTGATATCGGTTTCTTCGATCTAATTTTTACCACGATGCCTCACTATGAATACTGGCCCTGAAAAAGAAATCTATGGTCAAGTAAAGTGAACTGTTTCCGAACTCATGAGAGACTTGTGGTTGTTGTTAAATTGTTTAATTCAAAAAGCCTCTTTGCCTTGACTCAAAATTATCCTTTGTAAAATTAATAGTCCTTATCAAATAGTTCTTATTAAATATTACATTATATTTGGACGCACCACATTTTTCTCTCGCTTTGATGATGTATGCATTTAGCACACTTTTTTTAATAAGCAATTTTAGTCAAACATTTTTAACTTGATATATTGGCAAATAAACACTTCAATACGTTTATCCTCTTGAATGTTTTATTACTGACGGTCACGATGCCGTACCAAGACATATTGTTGATTTACCCACTGAACTGTGCTGCAGCGAATGGACGGAGGAAGCACTATTACCTTTAACTCTTTAAGGACGTAGCGGACACACAATATGGCCGATCAGCAGCAGCCCAAAGTTAACGTTGCGGCGGATGTCGAAGCATTACACACAAATACGAAGTGTGCTTGCCTTTAAAAGTTTCAGATTAAGTAAACAGAAAGGAAAATCTGCATGAAAAATGAAGTTATGTTGGTTTTTGTTTTGTTTTTTTGTTTGTTGTTGTTTTTTTTGTTTGTTTTTTTTGTTGTTTTTTTTTTGGGGGGGGGGGGGGTTATGCCCCAAAATCGTTCGTTTTCAAATATTGTGGAAGGACCAACAAGCGTCAACCTCAGTTATCAACCTCAACTGCTCAATTTTCTTTGAATTGGATTGGTTTGTCGTAGATATTTGAACGGTTCTCTCGACACCAACCGGTCCTGGTGTGATGTACAAGAAACATTATATCAAAATTTGAGAGGCCACGCTTAAAGAACATTGATATGATAAAAGGTATGCAAAATCTAAAGGGTGTCAATTTCACACGTGTAGTTCTTTAAGTTGGCGATATCTCACAGTTGTGTTTTTTTAAGGGTCAGATCTGGGTTTATTTGTCTAAAAATAAATAGAAAACTAGACGCCGAAAATGTGACACTTGATTAATCCCGTCAATTCTTTACCTCAGCAGCAAAGATGACAAGAAGCCTCTTCTTGGCGCAAAACCTCACCACCCTCCAAAGAATTTGACTTTGACGTCTTTGACTGAAAAAATTCTATTCCAAATCCGAGGTAAACTATCATAAATAGAATTAAGTAAGAACAATGCATAAAGAGGATATCCCCTTTATTTCACTGTGTTCAGGACAAATGAAAACAATAATAAATGTACGTTTCTTCTAATGAGCTGTACAATTGTGTTATTGGATGAGTCCAACAAGCCCACCTGTAAATAATCCTTTTTGTGCCAATGATGACGATAACTCCGACTACAAGATTTAACTTGTGACTTTTCTAGTTCGTTTTCTGTGTTTCTATGAGCGCATTTTCCTTTGACTTACACAAATCAACACAGCTTACAATCAAGATACCTTCTCGATCCCAGTCCCAAATTCAGATGTTCCTGAAAATCAATATTATTTTTATATTTATCGAAGAGATTTTTTAAAGGTAAAAAATAGCACGACCTTGAAGTAACGTTCAATATATGGAAAATGGCGAATAGCCACGTACGAATAAAGAACAAGAGCACGTTTGAACATTTGAGAAATAAAAAATGTAAATGCTAGTATGTATTTAGTTACATAACACACAGCCAGCCAATGTTTCAACGTGTATATGTGCAATTTTATTTAAGTTTTACGATTGTATCCTAAAATCGGTTCTATCATGTATAATAACGCAGCATAAAATCGGATGTCATGATTTCATTTGTTACAATTTGCCCCCC